CTTCTGTCTTCTCTCTTCTATCTTCTTTCTTCTGTCTTCTTTCTTCTATCTTCTGTCTTCTCTCTTCTATCTTCTTTCTTCTCTCTTCTTTCTTCTATCTTCTTTCTTCTTTCTTCTGTCTTCTCTCTTCTATCTTCTGTCTTCTCTCTTCTATCTTCTTTCTTCGTTCTCCTTTCTTCTCTCTTCTATCTTCTGTCTTCTCTCTTCTATCATCTTTCTTCTCTCTTCTATATTCTTTCTTCTGTCTTCTCTCTTCTATCTTCTTTCTTCTGTCGTCTTTTTTCTATCTCACTCCCCACTGTTCTCCTCGTCGTGTCTCCTGTCGAATGCTCCTCGTGGGACAGTGCTCCCTGCGCTCCTACTGGGTCAGTGCTCCCCGTATCGGTGCTCCTATCGGTCGATGCTCCTATCGGTCGGTGCTCCTAGCGGTCGGTGCTCCTAGCGGTCGGTGCTCCTAGCGTTCGGTGCTCCTAGCGGTCGGTGCTCCTATTGATCGGTGCTCCTAGCGGTCGGTGCTCCTAGCGGTCGGTGCTCCTAGCGGTCAATGCTCCTAGCGTTCGGTGCTTCTAGCGTTCGGTGCTACTAGCGGTCGGTGCTCCTAGCGGTCGGTGCTCCTAGCGTTCGGTGCTCCTAGCGGTCGATGCTCCTAGCGGTCGATGCTCCTAGCGGTCGGTGCTCCTAGCGGTCGGTGCTCCTAGCGGTCGGTGCTTCTAGTGATTGGTGCTCCTAGCGTTCGGTGCTTCTATCGGTCAGTGCTCACCGGCCCACGGTTCTTGGTGCTCCTAGGGGCGGCTGCCCCGGCGTTCTGCTTTCTACGGCTTTTCGGCCGCCTTATATACGGCCTGGTTGCTACCTGGACATGTAGGATTCCCCCCCCCCCCGCCTCCAGCTGGCATCGCTTTGGTGCGATAATCCCCGTGTGCTCTGCCTGATGATGTCGTTTGTTTACATGCTGATCCGCATTTAGACCTGTTGCGTCAGCTGAAACTGGCCGAGTAATTTTCCATTGGTATTCTATTTTAATTATCTTGTTATTTATCTCTTCATTATCCTTTTAATCTGGACTTTACTACTGCTAGACTTTTCCCTTATTTGATTTTGTGTATTGACTTCTTAAGTGAAATTTGTGTGTACCCTGGTTTTCTGATCCAGGTTTTTAGTTATTCCAAAATGGCCACGCCCTGTAGTGTGTTGTGATTTGAAATAGAGTCTTCGGTGTAACCGAAATCTCTACAGTAGTACGGATCCTTTATCATCTCTGAGCAAGGATTCCGTATCTTTCCAAAATGTCAAGAGCAATAGATACCAACTTTATTAAGAGAAATACACATGACAAGTCATGCACCACATTTAAACTAGAGAAATCTTCTGCTCCTCTGCACATGACATTCTAGGGAGAAATTTTGTGCTGGTAACTGATCATTACCAGTGACTTCTTGCCTGAGAACATGTGTGTTATGCCTCCAAATTTGAAATTTGTGAATATATATATACACACACATACTCACGCACACTCGCGCACATGCATGCACACACACACACACACACACACACACACATACAGCATTCGAATTTGAACAAATTTGCCAAATTTTAACCTCTGAAAACAATTAATCTGTAAAATATCCAGCTAATCCGTAACATTTGCGGGTGGGTGGAATCCGGGCAGGTATAGCAGCAAAAAAGCTGGTACAATATAAGCTGTTTATTTGTAGTTGTTTTCTCTTTATTCATATGATACCAGCTATACTAGTACAAGATAGCATATATAATATAATATATGCATAGCTCTAAACATAATATTATATGCACACATATAAGAAAAGCAATATGAAGGGTTTACAACATATATGAATGCCTATGAACAGCAGCTAACCCACTGGCCAGCTACCAGAAATAAACAGACGAAATGCATACATGAAATGGAAATAATTCAATTTTATCATCAATCATTTTAAATTAACTTTTATTTTAAATCGAATAAAAACTGAGAGAGAGAGAGAGAGAGAGAGAGAGAGAGAGAGAGAGAGAGAACTTCAGAGCACTTCATTCACTAGCAACTGTTTATTTGTAGTGTAAATAAAGGAATAGCTACCTCGACGTTGTGTAGGTGGTGTTACGGATCCCTGGTATGTTTCGGTGGTTGATGACAGAGCGATTGCACTTTGATGTAGTGCAGAATCGGAATTTGCCCTGCAGGCATAAAAAAACAATCAATTAATTCACATATAAATTTAATCATGTGTAAATTTAAGTAATTTTAAATTGAATAAAATATATGATCTGCAAATGATTATTGGTGCAACACGTATCTCAGAGAAGAAGCAAATGCTCAAGACAGCTTAATAAATTTTAATGTTATGAAATCCGGGCTGACATAATAGACAGTTGGAAGAAGATAACTACAAGAACTAGAACAATAAATAGCACTGGTTTCTGGAAATACTTATTTGTTAACCAATTCAACAATGACTGAACACCAGCTAACAAGCATACAACATGAGAGCAACGATACACTTGGATGCACAATTAATCCCAATATCCATTAAAATCACAATCTAAACTTAAAATGTGCAGCTTTTTACCGCCTACTTTGTTACAATAATTCATCTGCAATATGTTAAATTACTTGCGAACAAATAATTAAACAGAGCAAATTTATAGCATACCTTCTCCAACTAGAGTCAGCCGGTGGTGTTAAGTAATATGGTGATGCATCTATCTGATAAGCTGTTAAGGATTTGACTTTGTTCACGATAATGAAAATGCTCACCACAAAAAAGGACACAAATGAGTGAGTGAGAAGAAGTCAGTTTTAATTGAGCAACCATCGACGTACATTAT